ACGACCAAAACCAGACCCTAGTGTACGGGACGTTACGTTTCGCGCGCACCCCAAAAAGCCATCATACCGCTAGCGATAGGGCTAACTTGTATTGCTCAGTTTTTTCCAAATCGACAGTCTACGCCTAAATTTACATATTTTTTTTTTATTTATTTAAATCAGGCATCTGAGGCCCATAGAGAATACAATACATAAATATATTATAACAATAATCATAAACTAATACATATGTTACATAAAAAAAACTTAAAAACTAATGCACACGAAGTGTCGGCGTCGTGTTACGCTGCGTGGTGTCGCGTAGCCATCCTCGGAACCTCCGATATACGACACTCTTCGGCCAAAACTCTTCCTTGAAGAATGTCTCGACGTGATGAGTTGGAACTTGCACCATGAACGAATTAAAGTTCGTATTGTGGCGCGACTCCAACTTCGCCACCCTCAAGGTCCAGTTGGTCTTGGATCGGACATACTCCACGATCTGCTCCACCGTCGTGGTGTGATGTAGACGGGACACATACAACTGCGTCGTTGGTACTGCAGGACGCAGCAGGATGTTTGGTCCAGTTTGTGCAGTTCCGCACTTATTCCTACAAGTTGGCCTCTTTTTTCTCCTTTCTACCTTTATGAAGCCATCCTTGTATATATATATACACAAGGTCTCGAACAGTGGCAGCTCGCTGCCTGACCAGAACCAGACCTGAGCGTACGGTGAGTCACACTCGGCGGAAGAAGTGATTGGACTCAAATTCAATTATATAAAGGTAGCATATGTAGTAGAAATGTCTAATTATGGTCTGCTGATTATGACTTACTGCTGCGCACTTTTGTGTAAAAATCATTAAACTAAAAAAGCCCAAACTTAGTGAAAAACATATAATATAAACTATGAATATTTATAGGACAATAGGCAGCAATGCCCCCTTCTAAATTTCAGAAACCCAACTGCGGCAAAAATAAGGATTATGTCAACTCCCCTCTTCAGAAGGAAATTTTTGATGACATGTTTTAATTGATAATTTATGACGATAAAAAACTGTCGTTTCTGTAACATAGATTAATGTTTTCGTGTTTACAAACACACGCCTGCGTCTCCTAGGATACAGGAAAACATCGTAGTGGAGGTAAACAGTTTTTTATAAAGGGATTACGTAGTTAATCTGCTTAGGTAAATACGAGTCCTGTTAGGAGTTTATTTAACAAAATAAAGATAGAGCTTACGGAGTTATTTTATCGTAGCATTAAATTAATACATTTAAAAAAAACGTTGCCTACACTAGAATTTTCTCGTGTGTCTTGGTCACATACACATCATACCCAGATCCGGAACAACACAGACAACAGAGTTTTTTCGTGCGGGAATCGGACCCGCGACATGTTGCACGGCATCCAGTGGTCCAGTAACTACGCCAAGCGTGCGCGGCATCCAGTTGTCTGCTGGACTACGCCAAGCGTGCAGACAGTGATTCAGAGTAGAAACAGGAACAGGGTGGTTTTTAGTCAGGAAGAATCTGAAATCTTACTGGCCTGATAACTAGTTCGATGATTTTTAGATCGACTGATGTGTTGTGTGTGTATTTGATTTTATAATTAACTAGCTATTACCGTACGGTTTCAGTCGCTGCTCGGCTCCATTAGATTGTAGCGTGATGTTTTATAGCCTTTAGCACTCAGGAACATTGTAGCTATCTATCAGTGAATTGTGGAAATCCGACCAGTGATTCTACAGATTACATACAAACTTACAAACATACAAAGTTACAAATTTTACCTCTTTATAATATTAGTATAGATTTAGTGTGGTCTACCACATGCAAATCAAAAACACTTAAACTGATCGGGGAAATTTGGTAGGCAGTAGTTTTTTTATGAAGTGATGGTAAGCAGGTAAGCAATCAGCGCCGCCCATGGGCTTCTAATGGCAACACTAAAGTAGACACGAGTTTGTTGTTTACCTGTTGGGATTTAGAGTTTTGGAGTTTCCGGAATTAGGGGAGTGGAAGGATTGGGCCTTTTTTATGTGTTAGGACGGCAAACGAGCAGTTGGATTACCTGATGGTAAGCAATCAGCGCCTCCCATGGACAACCCGCAGCAACAGAGGAATTACGAGTACGTTGCAGATCTTTTGGGGATTAGGGATTGGGGGAGGTGAAGGATTGGGCCTCCGATAACCTCATTCATGCGAAGAAACATAACCAACAAGATTTATCTCTACCGACCTCTTAGCAAAAAGGTATGATAAAGTCCATGTTACAAATTATTCCTGAAATTGTTTTTTCTTTAAAATGTACAGTAAAAACTCTCGCTTAGCAGTTATTCAGTATTTAAATGACCTTGAGACGGCTGTATCGTGTCTAGTTAGTTTATTATAATAATACTTTATTATAATATATAACTATTATGTAATAAATTGTAATATACACGTTTGGTATTCCCCGTAGGCATAGGTAGATGAGTTTTACAGTTTTTGAAGGAAAGTAATTATCATATTAGCTAGGTTTCTCCTGAACACATCATCAGCTTATACATACTCGAATGTGCCCTTGCTGACTCTATTTAGAAAAAATAAGGAGATAAAATTTATTTTCAAAGTCAAAGTATAATCATTTATTCCAACTAAACCATATAAATAGGTACTTTTGAAACGTCAAAAATAGAAAAGTAGTCTTTCAGTCTATTCGTCAGTGAAGCTAGGTGCTCATTCCAAATTGATTTTGAATTTTTATTTATAGAGCAGGAAGTGCCCCGATGAAATGTTTGGTTTGATCCTTGCCGCATCTTTTTGACCCATGACATCATGACAACATTCCCACCCCCGTCATATAGCTGGTTAGCAGTCAACAACAGTGCCGGAATTTCCGATAATTTTCAACCATTCAAGAAACGAACTGCTTCATAAAAATCCACAAATCTGTCTGTGACTTCTGTGTCAGATACCGCAGATTTTTAACTACTTACATAATAACTTAACAGTTGCATAGTTTACAGGCAATAAGACAGTATCCTCCTATATATAATAGTACTACTACTATATACTATATATATAATAATATACTATGTATATAATAGTTTAGTAATACTACTAATACTACCGCTTAAGACCATAAGTAACCAGAAAAAATAAAAGCATCAAGGACTAATGAATTATTGTTTAAAAATGGGAATTTATCCCAATCGGTTTAGTCACACATTCATAAATCCAAAATTAAAAACTAATTTCTCTAAGTTTACTAAAAAGTTGGTTTATTTCTTTAAAAAGTTATTATTTTCTGAAATTATGTGGCGTCGCATTGAAACCAAGGTCATTACTCCTTATTTAATAATTTAAAGAGAAAGTGGCCCTATGTAATTTCAGTTATTTGTCAAAATGTAAAATTAGTTTTGAATTATTTATAAAAGCTTTGTATTGTACTTTGCTATGTTTAATTAATTGCATAGTTATTAATTAATAACTGACCTTTGAAATGTAAAGAAAAAATAAATCGTCATTGAAATCAACTTGAATTTACATGATGTTTTTCATCACTTCAAAAAAAAAAATTTAGATTTGGAAATTTTTCTTAAAAGTACTATATACTAGCTACAATCAAGCTGATAACTTTAGCTTTAACTTCAACTTAGGAACAGGAAATACTTATTAATAATGCGAAGTTGAGTTTTAGCCTTCATGCGATACTAGTCTATAAGATCTCATAATTGTTACTAGTAATGAGATTTTCGTATTAAAGCTAAGGCAGATAGTTTCCAAAGGTTGGCGAGCAAGGGTTATCGCCGCCCGATCAGAACCAGTGCTGAGCATCGCGTAGCGTTCCGTACACACCTGAAAGAACCAACAGACCAACACTGATGGGGCCCAACAAGGCCCGTCAAGCGCTTTAATACTTGCAATGGAACGGAGTGTTTTTTAGCCTGTGAGAGTCTGTCATCTAGAGCGAGAGAAGCCACTCGATGATAATGCCCATTAACGTCAAAAAAGTCCTAAAATATTGTTAAATAATTTCCGTAGTTTGAAAGATTACTCAGTAATTACGGAAGACACGCGCAAATTTAATATTACACGTGTAAAATTCGAGATACTAGGCACAACAAAACATTAAAATGGCCGTTGACCTTGAAAAACATTTCCCCGTATTATCATCGATACAGAATGCTTTCATCTTGCCGGAAAATATTGGGTATTTTACAGTAAAATGGGGTTTAGTAACTACGCAATAAGCAACATGATCCTGTAGCTGTCAGGTACAATCGAAGTTACAAAGCGCAACCCTCGAACTGCAGCCCACACCTGCGTATAGGTGGCCCCCGATTGTTTCCGAGGCACATTCGCGCCCAGACCGTCGGACGCGATGGGCGTTCCCCAAGTCGGTACGACCGTTTCACCCGCCGAGCAAGGGCTCGAGCGACCGCGCCGTCCCCACCTGTTGATCGTTGACGATTCCAGGGAAGCGAGAGCGGTTGAAGGTTAGTTCTTATTTTTTTAAGTATTATATTTTCTTGTTTATTTTTCGTGTAATTTGTCCAGAAACGGGGATTTTCGATATAATTTTCTAATGTCTTTTTTTTTGTTTTTCTAGTGAAATATTGAAATTTAAACATAAATTGTGTTTATGCTGACTATTGTTATTGAAAAAAAAAATCTACACCTTTAAGTGGATATACGCAAAATAAAAATTGACATGAGAAAAAGAAAATACGTGAGTTGCACGAAAATTATGTATGGAATTTAATTTTTTTTTAATAATGATTATTAACAAGACGATGTTCGAAAATAAAAAGAGCTCAAAAATTATTATTAAAATATTAATATTAAAATGCTATAAAATTACACATAAAAATTACAACATATACATAACAGGGATTGCGAATAGATAAGAAAAAAATACACACATCAATTTTATTTATTTATTACATATTGCATATTTTATCACCGGATTCGACTATCGTAGAGTTGTGTAGGTTTATCCGTCGGAGACACTACAACGAACATTACCGACAGTTGCTTGATAAAAACCACACAAAGATATACTCGAATTGGCACTGAAATATTTATTACTCTCGCTAGTATTGGCACTAAACTTGTAACGGCTCGTAAAGAAAATTTTGTGGCACTCTTTGCTGTACGTAATAAAGGTCAGTTTTTTTTTTATATTTCACTTATTACTTTTTTGTTCTGCGTTCTTTTTTTTATTTTTTATTATTTAATTTATTTTATTTATCATGTGTTATTTTTCTATCGATTGTGTATTTTATTTTTCATTTACTATTTATTGTGTGTGTTATTTTTCCGAAGTGTGTATTTATTATATAAAATTGCTGTGTTAGTGAACTTTTGTGTGTTGTCTCGTTGTTAAAATAACAAGTGTGACAAAAGGTAAACTATTCGATCGTGTAGGAATTTCAATTAAGATGTTCATTGTAATAAAATGGAGTCTGGGATTTTCTCGGACGTGTGTGCGATGTGTTGTGTATAGAATGCTTACTATGGGTACAGCATTCTGTTTGTTTCGTTGTATGTTTGTAGACCGTCTCGTTGGTCTGGTCGTCGTAAACACAAACTTCTGTGCTTAATTGTGTAGCTAATGGGTGAAGCATTGGGCTCTGTTTTCAGGATTTTCGTATTTATATGTTTTAAATTTAATTTTTGAATATTTGAAGCTTATTGATAAATTTATAAAATATACTTTCAGGAAAATAATAAATTTTGATACAAGAAATTGCATGCTGAATTTTCAAATATTAAAATATTTTAGTTAAAATGATCTTATATTGTAACCTTGACGAATAAATAAGAAATTCAATAGAAGGAGAAAAATAAACACACAAATGAAAATTAATTAGTATAGAGAATTCAATATCCGTTTAAAGATGGTCTTTCTTCCGCTCCGACAGAAATTGTATTGTCTGTGGACGTTCATTTGACATTCGTATTGTTTTAAATTGAAGCTAGTTTATTGAATCCATGATATTAAAATGTTATATATTTATGGTCAATTTTAGTCATTTTAGCGTATGTATTTATAATACAATGCTACTTATTTTAAAAGGAAATGAACAAACTTATATCGATCACATCAACATCCTATTTTCATAAGGGTCCATTGCGTAGTAAAGTCCTAGTTTCCTTACAACGTTTTCCTTCACCGTATGGCAGTGGTTTTTTAATAATCATAGACATATATGAATAAAAAAAAGAAACAGTCACATTGATAGAGAGCAGCGGGTAAAATAGCGCGAGAGTAGCTAGTTTACATATTGAATTTGGTAATAACCAGTATAGCCGTTTTGGAGGAGTAGGTTAACTAACACGTGTGACACGAGAAATTTATATCTATACTAATATTATAAAGAGATAAAATTTATAAGTTTGTATGTAGGGAGTAATCTTTGGAACCACTGGTCGGATCCCCAAAATTCTTTCACTTATTGATAGCTACAATGTTCCCGAGTGCTCTAGGCTATAAAACATCACGCTACAATCAAACGTAGCCGATCAGCGAGTGAAACCGCGTGGAATACTAGCGTATAAGATATATTTAATAAGAAGATTAATGTCGTTTATATATTTTAATATAAAAAAAAGATTTCCATAACAATCTTGTTACAATGTTATAATTGAAATTTGAAAATGAGAAAATTAAACAAAGAGGTTAAATATTTGTTTTACATTCTTTTGCTAATTAAAGAATAATTAAATTACTAATGTGTACCTTAAAAATAAAAGTTTGAAAAACATTTAGTTTCAGCGTTGAAATGTTAAAATGGATGTGTACTTTTCAAATAAGGTTTTAACTCAATTTTATATATTTATATCACGCATATTAAATTTCTTAATAAGTAATTTAAAAAAATCCTATGATGGGTGATTTAAGTATAAGAAAAAAAAAATATTTTTTAATTACTTTATAAGTGGTAGTCTTGGAATTTGAAACAAGTATATACAATACTCATCATCGGCGATTATTTTACTGAAAAGCCTTGTAGAAAATAACTGGGAATAAGGATAAATTATGTTTAGTATAATTCAAAATGACAGTTACGTAACATGTTCGAACTTTGAAGATAATGAATGAACACTTTTGCATTTTTCAGAACTTTATTTGTCTGTATTATAAAAATGAATCCCAAAATGTGTTGGTACGCGCATAACTCAAAAACGGCTGGACCAATTTTGCCAAATCCTTTTGTTTTGTATTTACTATTATCAGGAGAAGGTTCTTATGAAAGAAAATATTAGAAAAGTAGAGGGGAAAATTGGGGAAGAGGGACCTTTTTATTGTTAACGAGATAGTTGGACCCGTGCGATTTTTTTGGGGGGGGGGGGGGGGGGGGAGCGCCAGTCAATAATAAAGCCGTTATTGATAGTCTAGAAATCCAGCTTAGACGTAATTTGTTGCTTATAGATATAGATACAAAACAATTCGAGTCGACTTACATGGGTGTGTTAAAATGCTCAGTTAATGTAAGTCTCGCCTTTATTTACATTAACATAAGGTTTAATTAGTATTGATAGCTAAATTTGGGTCAACAACTGAGATTTGGTAACATGTACCGACAGTTTTTGATCACAGATGACGTCACATCAGAATCTGTTGTTTATACGGGGTGTTGGTATTTGCTTAAAGGTTTGTCGTGGTGGCTCGGAGGTTTTTTTTGTGAGGGGGAAAATCATCAAATGACTTCTTCCGCCCAGGGTCGGACCGGAGGGAGTGTCAGACTCTTACTGACTAAAAACCCACCTGTTCCTTCTCCTGCTCTGGGCCAAAGTCGCAGTGCCTCAGTGGCTCGGAGATTAAAGCCACTTTTCATGCATGAGAGTGCGGGTTCGAGACTTTGCAAGTAATAATGTGACTTTTTTTTGAGGTAAATGTACTTTCTATGGTTACTTTGACATAACTGACATACGGTGACGGAAAACATTGTGAGGAAACTTTGACTTGTAATTTAAAATTATAAATTTTGAGTCGCCAATCCGCCTTGAGCAAGCGTGGTGATTATTACTGATCAAACCTTCTCTGTCTGAGAAGAGGTCTCTGCTCTGCCATGAGGATATGATGATGATGTCTGATGTAATGAAGTAAAGTTTTTTTTTTTACTTTGTAAAATGTAGGTGCTGGTAAGCGTACTTACATGCCTCTGGCTGATATTAAATAAAATAAAAAAAAATGGCTTTATTCATCCTCTCATACCAGTTTGTAATAATTAGATAATAGATTTCTAGAACTCACTAATAACTATACGAGCCGTCAAAAACTATTTACTTATATAAATTGTTCCAATATTGTTTTCGTATTAAATTCTCAAGTTTGAAATACGATTCGTGTAATATAGTAGGGTTCGGTTACACAAAATTATGCGCAATTTAATGTTGATTGACAGGATAATGAGCCTTATAGCGTTTGAAGATATAAGGGTTACATTACCGTGTTACAATTGACTGGGCTTCCCTCAGAATTGAGTTTGACATTAACTTGTCGATTGATGAAGTTTATTCTAAGGAGGTTGGTGATCAGTCAGGTTTGTGGGTGCTGCGGCCTCGGCCCGGAGCTGAAAAAGGAAGGGGTGGTTTTTAGTCAGTCAACTTACACAAAACGCAAAAGTGAGCGAGGGGGAAAGAGAGAGAGAGAGAGAGAGAGAAAGAGAGAGAGAGAAAGAGAGAGAGAGAAAGAGACAGAGAAAAAGCGAGAAACTATTTGATGAAATAAATTATTGGTATATTTTTCTATGGTTAAATGTTATGAATGTATTTTATAACATTTATTGCTTATATTTTGTTCTTACAATACTATATTAGACAATCCGTCGTATACAAACTATACTTACATTTTCTATAATATTCCTGGTTTTTCGTCAAGCTCTACAAGTGTGTGTGTTGTAATTTCTCAGAATAAGAAAGAAATTACCATTTAGTATTTTACAATTTCTGTCTGTTTCCTGGTAATTGCTTTTTTACTTGGAACTAATTTAATTGTAGCTTATCTGTTTAAACAACACGAAATAACTTATACTTTACAATAAGAATTGAAATGAAAAGATCCATTTTTTTAATAAAGAAAAAAAAAATTAATAAAAAATAGAAAACTATGCTTCATCATTTTATATTTTAAAATAAAGTTTATAAATTTTATGGAACACAACAAATGTATAAGCAAGTGCAAAAACAACGGAAGCATTAAAAAAAAAAACGCAGGTATCTGACCTTTTTAGTCGACTTAACCGCAGTTACTAGTTCATTAGTGAGATTACACTTATTGGGTCAAACCTCTTCAGATGATGAGGTTGACTACATCTCTTTAACAGTATTTACTAAAAGAGTTCCTTTTCATATTGTCAATGCTTTGCTCTCGTATTTTCATAGTATGTCTAGTATTCAAGACGCTACAAGACTTTTGGCTTTTAAAGTTAGAAAAAAAACAATGTTCCTTCAACGTAAGTTATTAATCGCCACAGATTCTTTCATGAATGAATGAATGAATATACTTTACTGTACACCATAATAATAAAATAAACAGGAAACAAAAATACAAAAGATAGAACAATTGGCGGTCTTATCGTTTAAAATTAATTTCTTCCAGACAACCTTTCAACCTTTTCTTTTTTTATAAAACGTTGCCAAACATTAGATTTTTTTCCTGTGTCGTGGGTGCGTTACGTACAAACATACAAATTCACATGCACATTACACCCAGACCCGGAACAACACTCTGTGGATCACACAAAGAGTTGTTCAGCCAGCCACAGCCAGTTGCCCAGCCACCGCGCCAACCGTGCAGTTGAATGGAGTTTAACTGTAGATGAATTTGATACTGGCAGTTTAGGGCGTACACACACAACATATAATATACTACATTTTTCAATGATACATAGAATAAATAAACAAGAAATCATAACAATAGGTATAAATTACTTAATTAGTAATTAAGAGATACTACCACCGAAAACGGACCGTTTTCGGTGGAAAGTTCCAGTTATATATATTGAGCATGAAAGCTGAATATCGGAGAGCTTTATGGGTCATATCATTCAAAGACTTCTCTCACCAGGGTGGTGTGAGAGGGAGTTTCAGACTTGACTGAAAACCACCCCGTCTTTCTGCTGGTCTAGGTCGAGGCCGCGGTACTTTTGTGGATGTG